TTTTTTTTTAATGGTGTTGATTATATTTAAGTATTTGATACGATGGAGATCAATTCTAGGCCGGCTTTTTCGATGGCATTTCAAGTGGTGGTGGCATGGGGAAATATTTGGCTGATTGGATAGTTGACGGAGAACCTCCTTCAGAGCTTTTCGACACTGATGCTAATCGGTGAGATCGTCTACGTTAACTGTCAAGTCGATTTTTGGTTTTAGAAATTTCGAACTTTTGGTTTCTTGCGCTAAAGTGCGAATATATTCCTTATTGAAAGGTTTGATCGATGGGCCACTCGCGATTTTATTCGCGAGAAAAGTCGTGAGACGTATTCCATGTATTACAACTGGTCCTATACTAACAGATTAGCAGGTCGTCCAACCGAACGTGTTAGCGGAATTTATGCTCGTTTGGCTAAGGAAGGTGGCGTGTTTTCGTTCAGGAATGGTTGGGAGGTAATTTAAACAAGAGATTTCTGCTTGTAGGGGCTGCTGAAGAGGATTCTTACTATTTTAGATTACAGGTTGCCCAAGCTTTTGCAGTCCATGATGAGCCTCGACTGCCGTCAATGATCCGTGAATATCAGATGGTGACCAACAAGTGTGGCATTATTGATCTTACTTGGAAAGGAAAGATAGAAGTCTGTTTTGGTAGTTTCATCAATTTTAACGTAAGTCCTGGTGAACAGGATGATTAATATGGAATAAAATTTTCAGGTGCGTGGGCCAGACGCTAAAACATTTTTGGAACGAGTACTCACTACTGGTGTTCCTTCTTTAGGAGCTATTGCTTCGAGTTTTATGTTGACACGTAGAGGCAATTTGTTAGCTCCATTGAAAGTTTTCCATCATGACCAGTTCAGGTAGGCTTGCATTTATTTGTAAGCTTGCTTTGTTGAAAACTTTACAAAACGCCATAATAATCTTTAAGAGATCAATTTATTCTTTTATCTGATCCCGAACGGGAGTCTCGAGATTTATTTTGGCTGCAGCGAGCTGCCGAGGAAATGAAAATGAAAGTTGATGTCTCTGCCGTGAGCGAATATTTGTCCTCTTTGGCTATTGTGGGCCCTAGCAGCCGTGATGTATGTAATTTCTTAGCAGATCCTCTCTAGTCTTGGAGAAATCTTGTTACATTTCTACAAATGCCCCTTATTAAGGGATTTTAAGGGTACCATAGATTAGTTGACTTATTACCACGTCATCTTGTCAGCAACTGAAGGACTGATTTCAGGTTTTAAGGGAGTTGATTAAGGGCGACATTTCTGATGAAGCATTCCCTGAACACACTACCAGACTTGTGCGTATTGATAATGTTCCAGTGCTCGCTGCGAGAACATCCTCTTTGACTGGGCAGCTTTCATATGAACTCTATCACAGCAGGCATGCTCTAGTTTTGAAATTGTAAATGTTTTTTTTTGTGAAAACCAGATTTCGGCGGGGCCATCAAGCGTACTTTGTGCGGTTATTCGTGCTCTGGTACAAGAAAACCCACACTTTCTTTGAAGTCCTTTCAGATTGAGGGAATTTTCAAAGAGCAGTGTGTTTCTTCTTTGTCCTCTTAATAAAAAATTATTTAATGATATTTCTAATATTTAGAGCAGACTCTTTGCGGGTTTATAACGCTCTAATGAAGGCGGGAAAGAACTACGGCGTTGTGAATTTTGGTCAAACAACTCTTAATATATTGAGAATAGAGCATGGCTTCAGGCTCTGGGGAAGAGAGGTAATTTTTAACAGCTCTTTTTTTTTTTCACTTGATGACTTAGAATTTTCAGCTCACTCTCAACACAAATCTTTTTGAATGTGGATTGGGTCACTTGGTTGACTTAAGCAAGAAAGATTTCATTGGGAGGGCTTCAGCAGCAGATTTGTCAAAGAAACAATGGAGTCGAAAACAGGTATTTAATGAAATTTCTTCTCTTCCATTCGCTAGTCTATAGTGTCTTATAAAATGGTTACATTTTCTTGAATATTTGTTATTTCACTCTCGGTGTCCTTATGATTATGTTCTGTTTATTGGAATATAAGCCCAATAAAGTTTATTTTAAGATACTAGTAGCTTGTGAACCTCTGAAGGAGGTTCGAGATTGGACGAATATCCCTCAAGGAATGGAAGTAATCCGAAGACAAGGCGAAGAAGAGGTTTCTTATTTAACTTTCTAACAGTAGTTGGGATGAGACGTCAGGAATCGAATACGTGACTGAACGGTTTCAAACTTGTTTCAAACTTGAAAAAATTAAAATTTTATTCTAAGGTCTTTTAGGTTAAATTACTGCAATTTTTTCTTGAAAGAACATTTAAATTTTTTTATTTTTTTTGCTGCACTTCATTTTTTAGCGGATCGGACAAGTGACTTCAGGCACGTACAGTGTTAGACTTCAACGTCCTCTCGCTTTTGCTTGGATAAATTCTGACATTACTGTAAACGATAAGGTTTGTCAACAACGCACTGCTGAAAACATTGATGTCAAAGTAGCGCCTGCAAAAATGCAGTAGAATTCTTACCCCACTTATCCAAGAATATTAAAAAGGGTTGCATGTTTTTATTGCCCTCACAGCTTGATTAGTAAAGGAGGGCTGACGTAGAGGTGAACCAGAGGCGACTGTCGCCGCAAATATTTTTAGCAATTCAAATTCACTGTGTTTTGATCAGATTGGCGCGGTGAAACAGCAAACGTTTATATATATAAAAAAAAAAAAAAACTGAGGAATATTTTCAGTTCTGTAAAACTGACAGAAAATTTACTTTACCTCTTCCTTTGCGGCGACATAGAATACCATAACATTGTTTCAGCTAGGCCCAACTTCCTGCGATGTTTTTTGTCAAAATTTTGTAGCTTCTCCAGTTAAGTCGCAGACTCAACAAAAATTCATTGGCTTTGCTTAATCTAAGGATAGCTTTTGTAACTTCATAGTTCCTTCTCCTTCTGGTCAGAACATTTCGTGATAGCCGAGAGGAAATGCACTTAGGGCAACTTTAGGCGCTTACCAGTTGCTGAGCCTGTCTCATTATTACGCTCTTTTCTCAGCGGTAGAAAATAATATGGTAAGGTGGGTTTCTTAACCTGATGGCTAATTTGGCCTATAGTTCATGTGGGAAAAAAAGGTTGCATTTGGCATATTGGTCAGGGGTCGTTTAAAATACTAGCTGCATTTTAGCTATTATTAAGAATTTTTTGAAATGAAAATTTTTTCCAATTTGTACCAGAACAGACTGTCTTAGCCTTTACTTTCAGTTAACGATCGACACGGGAGGTGGTAGAGTCGCTGCTCGAATCCTTGAAAGTGCCCCAAACCCTAAGGTTCGATGAGCTGGTTCATTTTCCCATATCTAATAATGTCAAAGTACAAAGCAATCCCTTGTATCGGAAGTACTGTACCCGGATTTTGTTACTAGCACACTGCCTACTTTCGGACTGATTTGCACCACTATGTTTTCTACTTTACAGCTTGTTTCTGATTTAATTGCGGATCCTTGTCATCAAGTTTATGACCAAACAGCTGTTACCGTAAAATTATTACAGTCGTGGCAAAATCCTGTTTTTTATTTTAATAATCAAGTTATCAAATTTCTTTAACCAAAGCTACTAAAAGAAAAAGAAAGACTGTAAAATAAGTTGTTTTCGGCATGTAACACTTTCTCCAGGAGAAATTACAACTTCAGATGTTGTTATTTCTTACGTTGGACTACGGCAGTAAAACTTAGATTAAAACCACTATATCTTTCAATGCACGATGTTTCTAAGAGACGCGTTAACACTTGTCAGATACGAATGGAAACGAAGATCACTGAGAGGAATTTGGGTTAAGCATCGAGAAGGCTCAACCACTTAACTGTTTCCGACAAGCACTAGAAGCACTTTAGTTGTTTTTACCAATGCAGTTTGTATGTCTAGAGTCTAAATTATTTGACATGAATGGTATTTGTAATTTACATCCTTTACATAACAAAGCCCTTGCAGCATTTATTAAACCAAATAACTTTAACAGAAAGAACAGCTTTCACTAAACACAATTACGACGTCTACCTATCTTAACTCTGCACTGTTACTGAGTGCCTTTTCCTCGGAGTGCTTAACATCGCCCTTGCACGATTTAGTAAATCAAATAAACCAGTGCTTAGCTAGAACCGATCTTCAGCATTTCTGTACTACTACTACCAGTCATTTACCCTGGTAAAGATGCAGTTGAGGTGAGTCTCCCTTGCCTGCTTCACATCAAGATCTTTCTGCCTTTTTCTTAAATTTGAATCACGTTGTCTATCTCACAGTCACTATAGTAGAGGCTTAGCCTCCAGTACTGCTGCAGCTAACAGGCAACGAGCTCTAGTTTTAAGCAAGACAGGGCAGAAAGACTCCTTTTTTTCTAAAGCAAATGTAGGTTCACTGTTTGGTAATTGGAAGCACACCCCGTAACGCTTTTCGAAACTGGTCTACATTGAATTTTTTCTTCCAAACAAAACTAGAGGATTTAGGATTTTAAGGGCATACGCACTCTGAATAATCTTGTGGTCTTGTGTATAGAGGTAACTTTCGTGTCGCTGCTAACTCAACCGAATTTTCAGAGCATTTTTACCACTCCAGTCATCTCGTTAACTCACCATTATTACTACTGAAGTAAACCAGTGCGTCCGCTTCGAATGCTACCCAACGGTTCCAATTTTAATAGAGTGAAGCTGATTCTATGCCAAAAACAATCAGTCAACAAATGACCTAGTTTCAGCGGTTAAACTCTCCACCAGGTCTTTTGACCACAAAAACCTAAACGTGACTCAGCCCTTCTTGCACAACTCAGTTTGTACACCTCAATATCTGCAATCAAACATGCTTACACATTCAAAGACAACAGAATGTTTCACAGTTCGAGCAGGTACAAAAGACCACAGTGGGGACCTTATCAAAACTCACTAATTCTTTCCCCGACTTTGATGATACTTCGTGGAAATCGCTCGTTTGTTTGTTTATTTGACGTTATTACCGGATGTAGAGGCAGTTACGAGATTTTCGGTCTATGATGATTCCCCTCAACCTCTCCATTAATACTTTGGTCATTCCGAAAAGAAGAATAACGTCGGCCCGTGTGCTACCGAAAGGACCGTGAGGTTCACACTTCTGAACACTAACAGCTAGAAGTATATGTATTCAGCACACCTCCGTAAAACTCAGCTAACAGTCAAATTAGTCATTTTAAGCCTCAGTAAAAGGAAGCTGTATGCATACAACAACTAATGCCTCAGAGATAGGCTGTTAGAAAAGAGAAATTTTTTTCCCCCGAAGCGCCAGATTCCGTTGATTCTACTAGATTAGAATACTTGATAGCAAACAGTGGAATTTTCGAAAAACAGAGGATAACGACCATGACGTTTCTCCCAATATGACCGTTGGGCGTTCAATAAAATGCAGCTTTCTTCTCTGAACAAATAATTAGTTCTACCATCTACAATACCAAACACGTCTCGCCTGAGGACATCGATCCTAAGTAGTAACCGCTGTTCGCCTCAGCGAAACTGTTTGTGGTTTAAAACCAAACTAACTCAATAAAGTTACAATACAAGAAGGAATTTATTGAAATGAGTCTCAATGACTACTTCAGTAGCAAACGGGACAACATAGGACTTCGTCAAAGTCCGTGAAACCTAAATATTTGAGTAACAGACAATGAGAATGATAGTGAAGGAAATATAACACGGTAGGAGGAACTTAGCTCTCCGTCAGATACCCCTTTTGTCTGACAACCTCTTCTGATCTGACCCTCATAGTTTCTACCAACCACTTGCACCTGTCTCTTGGTATTTTGCTTCAACCCTCTCGAACTACTATCATAAATACTTCGTGGTTCTTTGTCTTCAATGTAAAGGCCCAAATCTCTCCATAACACTTCTATTGGATTTGAGTCTGAACTATGTGGTTGCCACTTAAAGACTTCAACTTCACTCCCTCTTGGTCATTTGGTAGTAAAAGCTAAGGTGTATCTTACTGCAAAATCGAGTTCTCAGCGAATGTCTCTGTGTGGCAGAATGACATTACTTGCTGATCAGCTTGGGCGAATCAAGGATCCCCTCGATCTGGAAAGTAGGCCCTGGACTGTGCCATAGCCAACTGAACCATAACTGACCGACCTGCGAAATCTATAGTAAAAATTTATATTTATTGCAACTAAAGGTTAACCTCTCACGTATTTTCCTTCCAGCAAAAATTCTACCATGACCTCCTCTTAAATTCAACTTAGATTTACCAGTGAAGGCCAGCCGTTGCCAGTCAGTGCCAGTCCAACGAACGTGGTCCTTGGTAAACTGCAACCGAAGTTTCCGGTTCTTAGTTGAAACAAATAGTTTCTTTATTGCAACGCGCTAATGTAGACCAAATATATGTAGACGTCCGCGCAAGGTCATAACAATGATGCTGTTACGGTCCTGGCTCCCGACATCCTTCTATATGCTCACAGCAGTCAGCCACCGACTGACTTCTGGCAGCCAGTGAATACGTCGAG